CTTCCTTTTGTTACAGATGAAATGACAGTAAATGTTTGGGCCTCTGCACCCTCATAATGATCCCATACGATGGATCAGGATTATTGTTTAAGTGATAAGTGATTACTATAAAAGTCTGTGTTGATAAAAGAGAGGAATCATTCAGTGGGAACAGAATCAACTTTTACTGAACTTCTCTGATGTCTACTCAGTAGTTTCTGTGTATCCATCAGTTGATGTGTCTGGATGTCTGATCATCTCATTTCCCACCCTGGTGCTCTTTGTGTCTTGTTTACTAGGATCGTTGTCAGAAGAGCACAGCTCTATAAGGAAAGGTACGTATGGGTTTGTGTATGTTATGTATTCACTATATGTATACGTTAATATGCTCAATGGAGTTCCTAGAATTATTTTGTAAAAACTACTGGCCTAATGGTCCCCTAGAGGTTTATGGGATGGGGAGAGGGTTTGTTTCTTATTTTTCATTTTGCTATTTTATTATACTTCCATTGTCTACTATCTTTGTTTATTTAATGCCTGCCATATCTCATGGGTTTTTTTATTATTATTATTTTATGGAAAATTTCGATAAATAATTGATCACAAAAAAAAAAAAGAGCACTGTTCTGTCCCTGTGATCTATATATTCCCATGAATTTCATTTCATGTGTATCCACACTCCAGACGTTAAAGTCAGTAAAATCAACTTCCTGTTGTGGAAGATCAAACTGACTGCATCTAAGTCATGCATAACACATTTTGCATCATTCCACACATTGTTATCATGTTTGAATTCTGTTGGTTTTAATGTTTATTTTCATCCTCATAAAGTAGCATCATAACTCTGATTATCTCACTTGCAGATGGTGGGACTTTGACTCTGACATGTCAGCTGTTGAAGATTTCAACAAACTTTTGAAGAACCTGTGAGTCTAATCTGTTAACCTCATTTACATTGTTTCACACACAGTCTCAAATATTTATTTATAATATATATCTTCATTTGAAACAGCATCTACACATTATATATCAGTGTTTTCCATCTATCACATTCTACTACAGCCTTTATCACTGATAATACTGTTGCTATTTTTATGATTGCGACTGTTAAATACATATTGTAACGTACTGTAATATTAAGTCTCTCGATTGCCAAAAATGACCTTGCGTACCCTTGACATTGCTTGTTTTTCTCGACATTTTGACTCTTACGAATAATTCACACTGTCTGCGTGAGCTGGAGGCCGAAACGGCGAGAGTCCGAGGTCCCGCCCAACGCTGCTCGCAGCTTTAATTGTTTAAGTGATAAGTGATTACTCTAAATGTCTGTGTTGATAAAAGAGAGGAATCATTCAGTGGGAACAGAATCAACTTTTACTGAACTTCTCTGATGCTGTGTTATTTAAAGAAAATTTCACCATCAGTAAATTATTCACACATTCACTATACTTGTTATAGTTTCAATGAAATTGACATATTATTACATTTCATCCACCTGCAGCTTAAATCTTAGTACATTCTCTTCACATTTTAAATAATGTCCTGTGTTTCTATCAAAAAAGGGAGGAGATGAACCAGGAGCTGTCGTCTGAAATGGGATGGAAACATGGTTGAGGCTCCCGTCAGCAGCTGCTCCTGATGGTCTCTTCATATTATCATGCCTGCTGCTGCTTCCTGCATCACTGTGTATTCAGAAATCAGTTTAAACACAAATAATTTTTTAATCATTATGCTGAGTTTGTTGTAACCTGCTATGCTTTAAGTTTTGCAAACAGAGTCATGTCAGTATTATGTGCAGGTGGAGATAATCAATATGAGGGAATAATTCAAACACTGATTCAAAACAAAATCAAAATGACAATGTATTTATCATACATTTAAAAAATAGATAGATATATAATTAAAGGTATAACTAAAATAATACATGAACATGTTGAAAATAAATGATATCTAATGCAATGTAATTTGAGAACTCTAAGGTAATTCACACTGTAGGCTAAACCCATATGATGGCAGAGCCAACCAGTGAATAAACGACACACAACAAACCTTCTATCTTGGTCAAAATACTGGAAAATGTTACGTAGTCTGACTGACTTTTTGCATTAATGTATCTGTTACTTGTGTATGTTATAATCTGCCATTTATGTAACCACTGTGGCACTTAAGATTCAACAAAGAAAGAAAGTGGACTTTATTCACCTTTATACATGTTTGAAGAAATAAAGAAGAATATTAATATCTTCTAAGCAAAGCCTGCAGATCCTTGACTGAACACAACACACAGCACAACATCAAACCAAAGCCAGCCCATCAGCCAGCTCACTCCTGGGTTAGATACCTCAGTAGCTTTAAGGAACAGACTTCACTCCTACATGGATCATTGTGTATCAAACAGGTGTCACACTCCTTTACTGAGCCTCTCACTGATACTTTGATTGGAGTCAAGTAGAAAGCTACACAATGTGAAGTGTGTCTGAAGGAGGGAAGTGTGTGAAGCCACAAATGAAAGGAGCTGGTGACTTAACAAAGAGTCATGTGACTGTTTCAGAGCTCAGCCAATGAGGTATTTCCCTCTCTCTGACTGAAGCTCAGATCCTTTCAAACTGCTGTTTCTCCTGCATTAAGATAAATACCACATTATATTTCTATCATGTAGCCATCTTAATACCTGATACAGACAACAGTTATCACATTATATATTATTGTCATGTCCATTGTGTACATACAGGTACATACTAGACTTGCTGACTTGCTGCTAATAACCTCACCACTGTCACTTTACATCTTCACTTTGTCTTTAATTGCTCTTGTAGATCATATTTTCACTTCTATTCTTATACTAGTTGTATAAACCTCTTATCTTATTTATTCATTTATTGCACTTCTCTATTTGTTGGAGCCACAATAACATTCTTTGTATTTGTTTTGATTCATGTGAATAGATGCAGTTTTGTTGTTTGTACACAGGGTGGCGCACTAGAGCAGGGAAACACAGGTAACACAGGTAAGGTGCAGGTGATGAGCAGCAGGTGTGTATTCCATCAACTGAGCTAAGAATATCCAGACTAAGGTGTCATCTTGAAGTTTGTTATACTGTGTTATATATGTGTAACTGTCTTTTAGGTGTCTGTTCTTGTCTGTTGAACATTTGTTGATCATAGATGGAGCTAATCCTCACCTTAATCCTGCTACAGACCAGGATTGCCCGGCAGCATTAGTTACCATGGTTACTAGGCTGGGATTCAGGTTAACCACCTTGATGATATTAATTACTTTATTTATTTACTCCAGTAACAATGACTGTAAACAGGAAATAATGCTAACAGAAAATGCATGTAGGGGTAACTAATATTATTTACCAATGCAGCTTTAGTTTAGCATGATTTTTTAACCCTTTCATACTGTTCATATTCTGACCTTCACAGTTTTTGACCCTTTATTATTAGACACCATCAAGAAATATGAACCACAGTCAATTCAGTTTACCATGCATCCATCTGGGGCCCCCTAGTGTCCAAGGGGCCCTCAGCAGCCGCTTAATTCAGTGATAGGGAGGGTCGGCTCTGGGTGGGGCAGGAGGCAGGAGGCAGCCAGAGATAACGGCGGTTTGAGGAAATTAAGTTTCATTTGAGCAGCAGTGACGCAGTGCTGTTTACCATCCAAAAGGTACTGTAAATACTTTATTACTCTTATCACCAGGGTTCTTGTGTCATTCATTTATTCAGTTATTTCATTCTGTCCGAACAACAAATAAAATAAAGAATTTAATTTCTTTGTTTTGTCTTTAAAAAAACGGGAACAGTCCAAACTAACACCTAACATACAGCAGCAGTAATGTGGAACAGACAACATGTCACTACGTTAATCTTCCAAGTAAATTAGGCTGTAAATATTTTATGTAGTGATGACAAATATGCATATTCTCATACAGCTACTTATTAAACTTGCAGCATAAAGAAGGCAGTCATAGAGCTCATAACCACACTCTGCAGGGCTCAGTGTGAACATGGGGGCCAACTGGTCAGAGTCAAGGTAAGTCATTATTATATTACTTTATAACTTTAGTATCTGTGTTAACTAAAGTGCTTTTGTTACTGTGTGACCTGTAATTTAATTTCATTTGTATCCACACTGACACTAGAGTCAGTAAAATCAACTTCCTTTGAGATGATGAAAATGACTGAAAATATTAGGACCTCTGCACCCTTATAATAATCTAATAATTAATGTTAAAGTGAGAATTAGGAGGAACATCTTTAAAAAGAGGAGAGGAATCATTCAGTGGGAACAGAATCAACTTTTACTGAACTTCTCTGATGTCTACTCAGTAGTTTCTGTGTATCCATCAGTTGATGTGTCTGGATGTCTGATCATCTCATTTCCCACCCTGGTGCTCTTTGTGTCTTGTTTACTAGGAGGGCTGAAAGAGAAGCACAGCGCGATATGGAAATGTACGTATGGGTTTGTGTATGTTATGTATTCACTATATGTATATGTTAATATGCTCAATGGAGTTCCTAGAATTATTTTGTAAAAACTACTGGCCTAATGGTCCCCTAGAGGTTTATGGGATGGGGAGAGGGTTTGTTTCTTATTTTTCATTTTGCTATTTTATTATACTTCCATTGTCTACTATCTTTGTTTATTTAATGCCTGCCATATCTCATGGGTTTTTTATGTTTTATTATTATTTTATGGAAAAATTCGATAAATAATTGATGACAAAAAAAGAAGAGCACTGGTCTGTCCCACACACCACCCCATCTCATGTAAGCTTTTATCATCATTAAAATGTAACTGCATTCACTGATATTTTGCACACACACAAGTCTGATGATGTCAGTCATTATTATGTTACTTTATAATTGTAGCATGTGTTAGCTAACGTGCTGCTGTTGCTACGTGACCTGTGAAGACAAGTTTACTGTTCCTCAGTGCAGTTCAGGTTTAAAGATGTTGTTTTCTTAGCTAAGCATATTATTAATGTATACCCAGAGGAAATAATTGGCTGCTGACCACAGTCTTTACTTTGTCTCATCAGACATAAACCTACATTCTGATGTGTTTCTCCTAAACATCGTTAACCATTTAATAACTAATGAGCAAACTCTTGGATAAAAACATTGTTTAGTCTTAATTAGATTATTAGATGATTAAAATCATCACTGTGTCTTTAGAGGTTACCATAAAACCAAAATGTTCAAATGATGTCAAATCAGAATAAATAAGTTAGACAGGAGTGCAGTCAGAGTTGATGGAGGTATGTAAGATGAGGAAGGGTTGCTTCAACAAGAGGACTGCTGTCACCCTGAGATAACCATGTCTCAGTGATACTGAAATAATCTCAGTTATTCAAAGTAATAAAATCATGGCATAACAAAGATTTATTGTTTCAGGATCTGATATTTAAATGAGCAACAGACCAAAGTGAGAGAAAGAAGAACGGTTTAAAGTTTGACAGCAACAATCTGATTGGCTCACTGAGATCTTGGCAACATGTAGTTGGTTTAAGTCAAAGAGTGAACGCCCACAGTCAGCTGATCAAGTTGGAAGAGACAGGAGGAGAATTTGAGGGAGTATTCCTGAAATAATTTCTGCTAAGCTTCAGTAAAATCAACTTCCTTTTGTTACAGATGAAATGACAGTAAATGTTTGGGCCTCTGCACCCTCATAATGATCCCATACGATGGATCAGGATTATTGTTTAAGTGATAAGTGATTACTCTAAAAGTCTGTGTTGATAAAAGAGAGGAATCATTCAGTGGGAACAGAATCAACTTTTACTGAACTTCTCTGATGTCTACTCAGTAGTTTCTGTGTATCCATCAGTTGATGTGTCTGGATGTCTGATCATCTCATTTCCCACCCTGGTGCTCTTTGTGTCTTGTTTACTAGGATGACTAAAGGAAACATCGATTCCGTTGACTCTGGTGTGTCCTTGAAGAGTGATTGGTCAAAAACTGGACTGATTGATTTCAAAGACAGAGTCTTTCTCAGGTAAGTTTTTATTATCATCAAAGTGTAACTGCATGCAGTGATATTTTACACACAAGTCTGATTATTATGATTATTTTACAACCATTGTGTCAGAGAATTAGCTCATATAATGAAGTCATGCATAACACCTTTTGCATCATTCCACACACTGTTATCATGTTTGAATTATGTTGCTTTTCATGTTTATTTTCATCCTCATAAAGTAGCACCATAACTCTGATTATCACACTTGCAGCAGGTCGGACTTTTCTTCCTCAGAGAAGAAGCACGTCAGATGATAAAGGTTTGGTCGAGTCTTCAGACGACCTGTGAGTTTAATCTGTTAACCTCATTTCCATTGTTTCACACACAGTCTCAAATATTTAGATGAATCTGTGGACATGACTATCTATTGCAGTTTCAATCTTAGTACATCCTGTTTTTATTTTACATAATATCCTGTGTTTCTGTCAAAAAAGGGGACGAGAGACGAACCAGGAAGTGGGATGGAAACATCTTGAGGCTCCCGTCAGCAGCTGCTCCTGATGGTCTCTTCATATCATCGTGCCTGCTGATGCTTCCTGCATCACGACACATTCACAAATCAGTTTAAACACATATGTTTTTTATCATTATCCTGAGTTTGTTGTAACCTGCTCTGCTTCAGGTTTTGTAAGCTCTAACATGTCTGAGCCATGTCAGTATCATATACAGGTCAAGATAACTAATATGAGGGTCAGCCATGTTTTGCTAACTTCAGTGTACACCAGACTGATGATATGATAAAGAAGTGGTAGTTGGTGTTTGTCTGCATTAATTTAGAGACGTTATACAAATATAATATAGAATCAGAACTTGGTGGTGGAGTAGGTGTGTGAGGGAGGCGGGGGCCTGGTTGTGAAGTGCTTTGTGGGTGAGTAGGAGGATTTTGAATCGGATAAAATCAGAGGCTGGCGACGTTTCTGTCCAAGATGACTCCAAGGTTGCGGCAGTGGGGGTGAGGAAATTTTGACCAATTATGAGTAAGTCTGACTTGTCGAAGCTGAGTTTGAGGAGATTTGTTTGCATCCAGTGTCTGATATCAGAGAGACAGTTTGAGAGGGTGGAGTGGGTCTGAGAGGTGATGGATTTGGTGGAGATGTAGAGCTGGATGTCGTCAGCGTAACAGTGGAAATGGAGGCCGTGACAACAGATGATCTGACCGAGGGGGATATTTATTCTCTAAATTATAATTCGTAATAAGCCACGTAAGGTGGAAAACAACTTAAAGGGATAGTGCACCCAAAAATGAAAATTCAGCCATTATCTACTCACTCATATGCCGAGGGAGGCTCAGGTGAAGTTTTAGAGTCCTCACATCACTTGCAGGGATCCAAGGGGAGAGGGGGCAGCAACACAACTCCACCTAATGGAGGCTTACGGCGCCCCAGAGTAAAACATCCAAAAACACACAATTGAAACCACAAAATATCGCCATACTACTCGTCTGTAGTGATCCAGGTGTCCCGAAGCCCCGACATAAAAAGTTGTTTGGAAAAACGTCATTTGAACTCTGTTTTTAGCCTCAATGTAGCCTGTAGCTCTAACTGCCTCTCTGTGCACCGCGCTCAAGTGTGTGCTCTTACGCGAGACCGTGAGACATGGGCACCGCGTCCATGTGTGTTCATGTGCTTTCCTGGTCTTGCGCGCACATGTTGAAAATAAATGGTATCTAACGCAATGTAATTTGAGAACTCTAAGGTAATTCACACTGTAGGCTAAACCCATATGATGGCAGAGCCAACCAGTGAATAAACGACACACAACAAACCTTCTATCTTGGTCAAAATACTGGAAAATGTTACGTAGTCTGACTAACTTTTGTATTAATGTATCTGTTACTTGTGTATGTTATAATCTGCCATTTATGTAACCACTGTGGCACTTAAGATTCAACAAAGAAAGAAAGTGGACTTTATTCACCTTTATACATGTTTGAAGAAATAAAGAAGAATATTAATATCTTCTAAGCAAAGCCTGCAGATCCTTGACTGAACACAACACACAGCACAACATCAAACCAAAGCCAGCCCATCAGCCAGCTCACTCCTGGGTTAGACACCTCAGTAGCTTATTTTATTTATTCATTTATTGCACTTCTCTATTTGTTGGAGCCACAATAACATTCTTTGTATTTGTTTTGATTCATGTGAATAGATGCAGTTTTGTTGTTTGTACACAGGGTGGCGCACTAGAGCAGGGAAACACAGGTAACACAGGTAAGGTGCAGGTGATGAGCAGCAGGTGTGTGACGGTAAGCAAACAGTTTTTTAAACGGTCAAGTGTGGCAGCATAAATAGTTTGTAGCGTGGAAACTAAAGTTGCTGAATGGAAACTTGGACACTGAACTGTTGGATGGACACTAACCTGTGGTTGACTCAGAAACTGTTACCTGAGATTAACATGCAACGTTTTACCTGTGAGAGTTGAGCACGTGTTAAAATAAATGGGTCATCGCACTCAAAGAAACCAGATGATGAAGTGGACATTGGTTTATTGTTGTTGGTGAGAACATGCGTCCAAAAAGTTCTCCCTGTTCGCCCCTCAGAGCCTTAAATGTAACGTTTCTATTTAAGGACTGCACACTGGTCATGTGTACTTCTTTCTGTTTGTGCGAGTCCAGCAGTGTAACATAGGATAGAGTATCAAATATAAAAACAGTGTGAGTATAATAAAGGACAGTGCAGTATAATAGAAATGTAGTGGACTCTTCCTGTATTATTAGGGGTGTCCTGAGGCACCAAATGGGTACCGGTTGGCCAGAAGAGCTGCAGCTGTGGAGGGTGCCAATGCAAATACCTGGGTGTGGGAGGAGTTCGGGGAGGCTGTGGAGAAGGACTGTCAGTCTGCCTTCAGTACAGACTGAAGGCTGCTGGGAAATGTTGGCAAACTGTCAGACTGCTCCTCCTCCTGCTGCAGCCGCCTGATCTCAGTTCATCTCCAACGAGCCTGATTGAGACTGTGTCCACACTGTGTGCACACTGCATGCAACAGTGCAAGCTGTTTAAGGGCAGCTGCAGTACCTACTGAAAGTAAAGTCTGCGCTTCAGAACACACCCAGTGTTTATCTCTCCTCCATCACAGCTCTTAAATGTAAATAAGGAAGTGACTCTCAGGAGCTGCGTCTGAACCAGCGCACCTCCCTCACCTGTGCTCCTCCCTCACCTGTGATCTTCCTTCACCTGTGGCGCAGTTATTTTTCTCACTTAAAGGTATTGTAACAACGTCTTTTATACACTTTATTATTATATTAATCTTATCGCCAGGGTCCTTGTGTCATCGTGTCATCAATTATTTCATCCTGTTTGGGGGAAAAACGCTTCAGAGGTTTGTAGGCGTTGTTTCCTCGTGTTCTTTGTCTTGAAATGGAAATGAACAAGTGAAACAAGTCGTCTTTGTGTTACCTGCTTTAACTTCAACACTGTTATCTCCTACAGCTGACAGTTATTTGGTCCTTTCACTGGACAGAAAACTCTAAAGCACCAAACTAACAAAGTGTCAGTAAACCTTTTGGGGACCGCGGTCGTTGAGGCCTCTGTTTAATGGCCTCTGAGTCTTATTGCTGCGTACGGAAGCCTATTGCTGCCACGTCAGGAAAGAAATAATGGATGAGTTTAACATTATAACGTGAAAAGTTTATTGTTGTAACAAGAAGTTTTCCATGTTAGAACAATATATTTACTGGTTATAACAATACAGTTTGATGGTATCAGTGTTTTGGGCCATGTTGATGCCTGTTCATTGCAAATAGCCAAGTGTCAAATCACAGCTGGAGTATATGGATGCACCTCCTCCTGACACCAAATATTGCATTATAATGTGGAACTCTTAATGTCCTAACAAGAGCAATTATCACGTGAAACTTTATACGTTTTTACAATATAAGTTATCATGTTTTAACGTGAAAATATGTTGTTATAATGTGAAAAAGTTCTTATTAGAACAATAAACTTCTGACCTTTGGAGGTGGTCAGATACGCAGCTTCTTATTAGATCTGAAGCATAAAGAAAGCAGTGATAGAGCTCATAACTTCTGCACACTGTGTCACAAGGCTCCAGCACTTGTAAAGTTTTTCACTTTCACTTTTCATCTAAAGTGCATTTAGTGTGAGAGCAGGATGTGTTTCTAATGTGTCATAGTCAGACCAAAAGAAACAACAACAGGAACATCCACACAGACATTAAATTTAGAATAAATTAAGAAATATATTATACCTTTCTATGCTATGAGAGCTGTCATTCCAGGAGTAAACATCTGGCTTTATAAATAATACCACATACATCCATAGTGTCTGACGAGTCCTGAGGTGATTAGACCCAAAATGTTCAAATGATGTCAAATTAAAATTACCATAGAAAACAGTGCATTTTTATATATTTATATAGATATTCTTTTAGATATTATTCTGTAAATAACGGGCAGAATCAACTTTTACTGAACTTCTCTGATGTCTACTCAGTAGTTTCTGTGTATCCATCAGTTGATGTGTCTGGATGTCTGATCATCTCATTTCCCACCCTGGTGCTCTTTGTGTCTTGTTTACTAGGAGGGCTGAAAGAGAAGCACAGCGCGATATGGAAATGTACGTATGGGTTTGTGTATGTTATGTATTCACTATATGTATATGTTAATATGCTCAATGGAGTTCCTAGAATTATTTTGTAAAAACTACTGGCCTAATGGTCCCCTAGAGGTTTATGGGATGGGGAGAGGGTTTGTTTCTTATTTTTCATTTTGCTATTTTATTATACTTCCATTGTCTACTATCTTTGTTTATTTAATGCCTGCCATATCTCATGGGTTTTTTATGTTTTATTATTATTTTATGGAAAAATTCGATAAATAATTGATGACAAAAAAAGAAGAGCACTGGTCTGTCCCACACACCACCCCATCTCATGTAAGCTTTTATCATCATTAAAATGTAACTGCATTCACTGATATTTTGCACACACACAAGTCTGATGATGTCAGTCATTATTATGTTACTTTATAATTGTAGCATGTGTTAGCTAACGTGCTGCTGTTGCTACGTGACCTGTGAAGACAAGTTTACTGTTCCTCAGTGCAGTTCAGGTTTAAAGATGTTGTTTTCTTAGCTAAGCATATTATTAATGTATACCCAGAGGAAATAATTGGCTGCTGACCACAGTCTTTACTTTGTCTCATCAGACATAAACCTACATTCTGATGTGTTTCTCCTAAACATCGTTAACCATTTAATAACTAATGAGCAAACTCTTGGATAAAAACATTGTTTAGTCTTAATTAGATTATTAGATGATTAAAATCATCACTGTGTCTTTAGAGGTTACCATAAAACCAAAATGTTCAAATGATGTCAAATCAGAATAAATAAGTTAGACAGGAGTGCAGTCAGAGTTGATGGAGGTATGTAAGATGAGGAAGGGTTGCTTCAACAAGAGGACTGCTGTCACCCTGAGATAACCATGTCTCAGTGATACTGAAATAATCTCAGTTATTCAAAGTAATAAAATCATGGCATAACAAAGATTTATTGTTTCAGGATCTGATATTTAAATGAGCAACAGACCAAAGTGAGAGAAAGAAGAACGGTTTAAAGTTTGACAGCAACAATCTGATTGGCTCACTGAGATCTTGGCAACATGTAGTTGGTTTAAGTCAAAGAGTGAACGCCCACAGTCAGCTGATCAAGTTGGAAGAGACAGGAGGAGAATTTGAGGGAGTATTCCTGAAATAATTTCTGCTAAGCTTCAGTAAAATCAACTTCCTTTTGTTACAGATGAAATGACAGTAAATGTTTGGGCCTCTGCACCCTCATAATGATCCCATACGATGGATCAGGATTATTGTTTAAGTGATAAGTGATTACTATAAAAGTCTGTGTTGATAAAAGAGAGGAATCATTCAGTGGGAACAGAATCAACTTTTACTGAACTTCTCTGATGTCTACTCAGTAGTTTCTGTGTATCCATCAGTTGATGTGTCTGGATGTCTGATCATCTCATTTCCCACCCTGGTGCTCTTTGTGTCTTGTTTACTAGGATCGTTGTCAGAAGAGCACAGCTCTATAAGGAAAGGTACGTATGGGTTTGTGTATGTTATGTATTCACTATATGTATACGTTAATATGCTCAATGGAGTTCCTAGAATTATTTTGTAAAAACTACTGGCCTAATGGTCCCCTAGAGGTTTATGGGATGGGGAGAGGGTTTGTTTCTTATTTTTCATTTTGCTATTTTATTATACTTCCATTGTCTACTATCTTTGTTTATTTAATGCCTGCCATATCTCATGGGTTTTTTTATTATTATTATTTTATGGAAAATTTCGATAAATAATTGATCACAAAAAAAAAAAAGAGCACTGTTCTGTCCCTGTGATCTATATATTCCCATGAATTTCATTTCATGTGTATCCACACTCCAGACGTTAAAGTCAGTAAAATCAACTTCCTGTTGTGGAAGATCAAACTGACTGCATCTAAGTCATGCATAACACATTTTGCATCATTCCACACATTGTTATCATGTTTGAATTCTGTTGGTTTTAATGTTTATTTTCATCCTCATAAAGTAGCATCATAACTCTGATTATCTCACTTGCAGATGGTGGGACTTTGACTCTGACATGTCAGCTGTTGAAGATTTCAACAAACTTTTGAAGAACCTGTGAGTCTAATCTGTTAACCTCATTTACATTGTTTCACACACAGTCTCAAATATTTATTTATAATATATATCTTCATTTGAAACAGCATCTACACATTATATATCAGTGTTTTCCATCTATCACATTCTACTACAGCCTTTATCACTGATAATACTGTTGCTATTTTTATGATTGCGACTGTTAAATACATATTGTAACGTACTGTAATATTAAGTCTCTCGATTGCCAAAAATGACCTTGCGTACCCTTGACATTGCTTGTTTTTCTCGACATTTTGACTCTTACGAATAATTCACACTGTCTGCGTGAGCTGGAGGCCGAAACGGCGAGAGTCCGAGGTCCCGCCCAACGCTGCTCGCAGCTTTAATTGTTTAAGTGATAAGTGATTACTCTAAACGTCTGTGTTGATAAAAGAGAGGAATCATTCAGTGGGAACAGAATCAACTTTTACTGAACTTCTCTGATGCTGTGTTATTTAAAGAAAATTTCACCATCAGTAAATTATTCACACATTCACTATACTTGTTATAGTTTCAATGAAATTGACATATTATTACATTTCATCCACCTGCAGCTTAAATCTTAGTACATTCTCTTCACATTTTAAATAATGTCCTGTGTTTCTATCAAAAAAGGGAGGAGATGAACCAGGAGCTGTCGTCTGAAATGGGATGGAAACATGGTTGAGGCTCCCGTCAGCAGCTGCTCCTGATGGTCTCTTCATATTATCATGCCTGCTGCTGCTTCCTGCATCACTGTGTATTCAGAAATCAGTTTAAACACAAATAATTTTTTAATCATTATGCTGAGTTTGTTGTA